TCCTCAAACAGTAATTCTCATTCCAAAGTTTACTGAAATCATCATCAATTCAATACATTCTTTAATATGTTGAAGATTTCTTCCATGGAGAGTAGCCATCTTTCTTTTTGATTATATGTGATGATGAAAGTTGGAATAAATAAACTGTCTACACGTGACTACAAATTTCAATTGTGTTAACTTGGGTTGTAGGTTTCTCTGCTGTCGCAATATTTCTCTGAATGTCCCGTTGTTAGGCTTTATGGAAATTCAATCAAGGCTTACTTGTGTAAAAAGGTTTAAAACCTAAAGGAAGAAAAACGTTAAATGTACAATAAGAACATTATTAGGCCTACGGCAAACATTGTGCACAAATAGGAACATTATTAGGCCTACGGCAGACGTTGATACTACATATTTCGGCAGCTTTACGCTGCTGTCATTAGAGTTGAAATGTACATAAGATGTTAATTTGTCCACTTGTTGAACACTGTCGTAACAGAACATTCAATAGAATGGCATGAAACAACACTTTTTAAAAAAAATAAACTTAATACTCAAAGTGAGTTGAATATCAAACAATCAATAGAAATGTTGTGTTCCAGATTAAATAGTTATTTACTAAATACAGATGAAAGGTTAGCTGGTGTTAACGAACAGCTTTGGAAAGAAATATTGATTTCTTACGTGTAACATTTATAATACTTTTTTTTATAAAGTTTAAAGTGAATTAAACCTCTTTATAAAGCTACCCGTTTGTCGTGTATGCTTTACTCCTGATGATGGTAGCGAAAAGCTGCCGAAACATGAACTGCTTTTAATGTCTGCCGTCGGGTAAATAGTTTTTATTTTTCCTTATAAACGTTGTTCCTGCTTTTAACTTTGAACTAGTTGTCAGATGTTTAGTTCTAATGTTTATCTTACTGGGTAAAGCGTTTATAGCTTTATTACCTGATCTTTGATCTTCTCCACAAATTGACAGGTTGTCAGAAGTTTAGTAGTAATGCTTTAGTGTCTTACTGGGTAATTTTTTCTCTTATTTTAAAGTTAGATTTTTCAGCACAAGCTGAGGTATCTGTCCTTTGTCGGGTTATGAACTTCAAATGTGGGGGTGGATGCTATGATAACACACAAATCCTAACTTTCACAATTTATTTATAACGTTTTACAGTATTCGTTATTGCCTCACCAAAAGTTTTATATAATCTTTTATAAGTCAATTTATATATACTTAAAACATGGTATACACTGTACGATGGTCAGGGTGACTTTGAAGGAAGAGGTAATGGTCAAAGTAGGGGTACTTTCTGTTACCCGCTTTCAACAACTAGCTCTTAATGTCCTTCCATGGTGTTTTACGTGATTAGTTAATAATGATCACGGGTCAAAGTTGGAAGTGGATATAACTGAAGAAACGGCTCTTCACATCAGCCTTATGGTAACTGTTGGAGTAGAAAGTTAAGCTCAGTTCATGTAGTATTCCAATAGTAGCGGTCTTTCTTTTTCACTGCATTCTTTCTGGTCCCCCAGTGGCACAGCGACATGTCTCCGGATTTATCACGCTAGAAACAGGGTTTCGATAGCCCATTGTTTAGCTCTGTGCTTAACTACAAACAAACAAACACAAAAAGCATTTCTTCTGAAATATATGACATTTGTGTGCCCTGTCCCAAACTGTGTAGAAAATTTGTTTTTTTTATATAAGGTCGTGGCGCCACCTATGAATATAACTATCGTTAACTTGCGTCAAAGATGATAAACGCTCAATAACAGCAACAATGAGGGAGGGTTGAACCCCTTTAACATGCCCCTTGTTCAACACTTATGGGGGTGATATATTTTTTTAAAGTTCCAAATCTAAATGACAATGCTCTAAAGTGAGATGTACATATGCTCATAGCAGAGAAACAGTTAATACTTATCGTACAGTTCCAAGCCACATACTGTATCATTTTAGAAACTGCTCTGAGTGGTTATTAATTACTTGTCAGTATTTTAAAGCAAGTACCTACGGTGCTTTCTACAAGGAAAATTAGAAGTACTGTCAAAATAAAAACGTCTAATGACTATCATAGCGACTATTCAAATTAATGGTAGAAGCTTTTCTGAGGATAAACTTAGAAGTCAATCAAACAAGGTGTTTCATGGAACGATATTGAGCAAAACTAATATCATCTTTAACCCTCAAATTACCCACTTTTTGTATAATGTTCAATACCGATAGTTCACATATTGCAGTAAAGTGATTTTTGCTTTTACAACACTCGGAGTAAAGTACTGGTCAAATATTTGGGTGAAATGACTAATTTTCCATGTAACATATGTAGTGAATTCCAACAATAATTAGTGGGATTATTATTATTATTGTATATGGAGCTCTTGTTATTAAGTATATTGTAAGCATCTTGATAACTTAGAAACATACTTAAAAACAGATGGGGGTTACGAAATTGAGGAAAACAAGAATTGTACGTTTCACGAATGTTTATTACGACTATGGTTTCGCCAGTAAAGACATCATCAGGTAAAGATGGGTTTCATATCTCCCACCCCCACCCCATCGATATAATTCTAGAGTTAAAAGTTTCAATCTGTAATTATCTATAGATTATATTTTTCCGCACGTGATATATGTAATACATTTGTTTTGTGTATCTTAAGTTTGTTTACAAATGTGCTTGCATGCTGTTCACATGGACACTATTCAAAATATTTTTTTTAATATTTGATTTATTGTAATACTTTTGTAAGGAATCGCATCATATGATCGTAGATGAAACAAGGTTTTTTATTAAAATTAGAGCTAACTGATGACATATTAATCTTTGGCTAACAAATTAGGCCTAGCAAAGTGAATAACTACGGGATGTAATGTAATTTACCCGTATTGTTTGAATACAGTATATTGAAAGCTATTTTTAATGGTATATTCTGTTTTAATATAGTATCATTTTAGGTTTATCATTTATTCTGTAAATTTACAGTTTAGTATGTGTGGTCAAGAAAATCGGTAAGTTTGTTCTATCTGCCTTGCGGAAATTGGCTGTAATGCTGAACGTTGTGCAATAATGTAGACAACAGTGTCCTTCAAAGGAAGATCAGGTAGGATCCTTAGGTTACGGTCTCATCTATGCTTGAATGGTAATGATCGGTCATATAGTGCTCGGTAGTAGCTCTGGGTAAATCCGAGATAACCTGCGAAGTAAGGAACATTGAATTTTAAAGTCTTGTAGATGATTTCGGTATGATCAGTTAATATATGCAATGTGTTAGAAGCGACCATCCGGTATCCGTAAAGCAAATACAAACACCGTGTTTGTGAGAAATATAGATTATATACTTGTATTTTGCATTGTCCAATCTGCTTCGTTCTCAAAAACTAGGAGATTAAAGTAACAAATATCATGTTGAATCTATCCCAGTGCTTTATGGTAAACTCAGTTTTACCTTGATAGACCACAGTATAATATATACTGAAGAACAACCGTTAAATAGCTAAACAAATATAATGCAAGAACAACAATAACTTAAAACGGGAACAAGATGAACAAAGCTTTAAAAATATGCCATAAAAGTTAATTCCGAAGCCTGACATTGTCATAGCATAAACATATATAGTTAGGGAACATAATAATAATTTTAATTCTGCGAAATGTTTCGTCATGTGATCTGAATTTCATGTTAAGCGGATGTAATACATAATTAAGTTTATTTCCTGTTGACCAGCAACAGCCGGATATATTAGCTGTACTGGACTTTGCTGTAAAGCCAAAATATGATTAATTACCGAAATTTTATTGAAATATGTTTAAATGTATAAGTAGTTGACCATCATATCTCTAGAAGTAACTGATCTGATGGATATTATCTCGGAATCATCATTCACTGTTATATGTTACATACTGTTGCATGTGGTTAATTAAAACTTTCACTCCGCCTTTAAGAAAAGACCAATATGTAGGACAAGAACCCTACCCTGTTAGGGTTACGACCCAATCCTGGTACTAATCATATGGGTTAACGACCCCCTGCGCTAAATTTAATTTTTTAGCCATCCACGTTTCTCTTATTTGCGGTCTAATTTATGACACGTGTCTTCACCTAGTTTGATTGAACGAGTCACTGGCCTGATATGTCGAAGTTTTAGCTATTTGCACAAGCCAGTGCATATAAAATTTCATCATTAATTAGGAACCGAGGTATATTTTGCCATCATGTGGTGGTGTGTGCGTATGGTGTTTTTGTTTTTCATTTCCAGCAGATGTAATAAATGTGCCAATGTTTGAAATATTTTGTTCTAATGCGTTGATTTAGTGGTATTGCATGAAATGGTTGAGGGATAAAGTGTATATCGATCTTATTAGTAACCTTTGTTGTTGTTTTATTTTTTCGAAAATTTGTGACATTCACGTTAAAAAGTTGTTTGTCTACTTTTCATGATCATCACGTAATTGTAAAATAGTAAGATAGTGTTTACTTTTTCAACATTTTGTGATTGGCGCAATAAATTGCAATTTCGAGTATACTCTGTGATGTTATGAAAAAAGTACACAAACTTGAAACAAAGACTGTTTCCCCAGAGGAACTGTAATAAAGACCATTTGAATTCAGCACCATTGCAACTACAGAAATTGACCACCAAAATAAAGAATATTTCGTCAGAGGGCATCCCAATTGAATTTCTTAAGTGTAAAAGTAGAAAATCTGGGGCAAAAATAACATGGAAGTCAACTTCTTACTTTTGAAATAAGAATCTTAGTATAGAAGTTGTTTTAGAAATCTACAGGGAAATTTACAAAGTGAGTAGCATTTATTTCTTAATGTGTTAATTTCTGTTGGGTCTGTATGGAGCTGTAATGATAGTCCATGTATGTAGCAATGGGCTCCAATGGTCTAATGGAATTCATATAGCTGTTATATGAAAGGTCCTGAAACAAGTTTAACATTTTTTAGATAGTTTGGCGTTGTATGTGATACTAAAACGTTTTGGACTATATAGTTGTTTTTTTTTGTATATTCAGCTTTCAGTGTTAAGATGTCCAGCCCCAAGAAAGAAGAACTGCCAAAGGTTTCTCCTGCCATCAAGGATGAATTAGTTCATTTTGATTCTACAAAAATGAAGCCTACCAAAACTGAGGAGAAGTTAATACTCCCAACCAAAGAAGGTAAACATGGGTCTCGCTGTTAATTATCTAGCTTTAATGTTTATCAGGCCAACCTTCCTTAAAAAGGTGGATTTATCGCATACATTTTCAACAATAAACCAAACCGAGTAAAATGAATATGAACTTAGTGATTCAGTTTCATATCTTATAGCTTGATTCGTTTTCAGAATGAATTAGGGCTGGGCGAACAGTGTAATTTGCTTATTAATTTATTGTCGGACTCATTATTCGATTACTCTTGTATGACAGGGTCAACACAATCCGCTAGGGGCGCTGTGATCGGTACAGTTACATTTTCTGTCCACCATATTGTGACAATTCATATAAGTAGTTCTTGAGAGCGTAGTGGACCTACCGGTATATGAAATCGGTATTGCCTGGCAAATTTAGCGTTGTATTCCCAAATACAATTTTGTTTCTTTTCATACAGTGATTAAGTGATCTTGTATTATCGTATGCAGTTACACAACATAATTTTATTTAAAATATAGTAGTCTTTGTAAAGACTGAAAGATGAAACGGGAGAAATCCCATCAGTACCTCTAGTGGCCACCCCAATCGACTGATGTATAATAAGAGATGAAACTGAAGAAATCCCATCAGTACCTCTAGTGACCAACCCAATTGACTGATGTATAATAAAAGATGAAACTGGAGAAACCCCATCAGTACCTCTAGTGGCCACCCCAATTGACTGATGTATAATAAAAGATGAAACTGGAGAAATCCCATCAGTACCTCTAGTGGCCACCCCAATCGACTGATGTATAATAAGAGATGAAACTGAAGAAATCCCATCAGTACCTCTAGTGGCCAACCCAATTGACTGATGTATAATAAAAGATGAAACTGGAGAAATCCCATCAGTACCTCTAGTGGCCACCCCCACTGACTGATATATTTAGCCAACTCTGGAGCTATTAAATCTATGCATTTAAAAAAAAAAAAAACTTCTTAACCCCCCCCCCCCCCCCCCCCCCC